GGGATTTGTAGTTTAATCATGAGTAGCAAACTTAACACTTCATGAAGACAGATCGTGTCAACCTCTGATTACGWCTCTTAACTTTATTTATTTATGCAGCCAACGGTTCTCAGGAATGATCAAAAGTAGAAAAAATTAAGACTTGACAAAATTAAATTTAAAACCTTGGGTGAAAATCTGGGCATTTTAAAAACTTTTTAGGCCTAAAATGTTGATCTTCAAATTTTTGACCTTTTTAGACTTTTTAAGGCCCGGCATGAACCCTGAAAGACGTCCAAGCCGAAGTTGGAATAAAAGATAAATCTACTGGAAGCCTCTTTTGGACCTATACATACTATAATGCTAATAATTAGATCGAATATATAGCTGATATGAGTAAAATAGTCATAACAACATTTTCACAAGTGGGCAAAGTGTCATAGGGCCTTACACTGGTGCGCCATAATAAAAGTATTTTATTATCAGGTTAATATTACTGACACTTATCAGCAGTCCTGTCCTCACAGACATGTAGAGAATTTATTACATGAACTGAGTTTGCTGCTACCTTCTTGAGCCTCAGCCTGACACTGGATGATATAAGCGTCGATCACTCGAGGCTCCAGGTCTCTGCCCTTTTCAGCCGGGGTGATGAGGCGAGGAATGTGGACCTCCTGTGGAAAAGAAGCCAAAACAAAAAGAGTGTCTGACTGAGTCTGAATGAGGTTTGTGCATCAAACTCCACAGTTCTGGGCCCATATTTATAAAACTTCTTAAGAGTGGATTTTTAGACTTAAGTGCTGAAAGTTTCTTAGATTTGCTCCTACTCTCAGACTTAAGTGTAAGTGCCAGTTATGAAAATTCTTAAGTCTAAGAATCCCTCTTCAGACTGCTCCAGAGGACTCAAGTGGTCCAGAGTTGTCACTAGAGGTCTGAGATGAACTGAGGAGACAGAGATTACAGCTGTCCTCCTCCCGACCTGAGTGTTGTTCTCAGTTATAAGGAGGAAAACAGGTTTAATCAGAAATATTCAAAGGAAACAAAGGTAAAATTAAAAAATAAAAAACTGGGCATAACGTTGGACTAAAAGTCGGATATTTATGTGTGGCTTTTGGAGAAAATATTATATATACTCAGCTGGTGAGTGCATGCACCCCCCCCCCCCCAAAAAAAGAAAATTAAATTAAATTACGGTGGGATTGAATGTTTCGTTTATTATATTAACAATCACATGATACAATGATGGGGGGTGGGGGGTGCGCTCCTCTCCGACCAAGCTATTAATGACGGAGCAGGTTGTGTGTGTGTGTGTGTGTGTGTGTGTGTGTGTGTGTGTGTGTGTGTGTGTGTGTGTGTGTGTGTGTGT